TGATCCTTTGTTAATACAGACTGGAGAGCTGGGTGATTCATCATCGCTTCCAAGGTTGAGACTTCTGGGTCCAATATTCTGAAGGATACACACATTCACTTTTCTCCTTGATTTACTGGCTGTACATATACATGGCGCTGGTAACGGCACATAATAACAAAATAACTGGTAATATTTTTCTCCCAAGTTATAAAAATATTTTATTGGGGTTTTGTGAATTTGCCAAAAGAGTCAAAGATAACTGCTTCTGCTCAAATTCTCTCTAAATATCAAGACCCTCTTTAGTTTTGTGATGGCTAAAGATGTCAGATGGCACTATAATTTCAGAGTGTTGACTGAATATAGGTTGATGAGTGGGCGCCCCACAACAGCAACGTACAAAGCACAGGTGTTACTCTTGAAACACTACAGTCTTCTAGCAGCCACTGTTTGCAAGGGTTTAATAAGTATTAACTTTGGAATTGAAAAGTGAGGGCAGAAAAAGCAAAGTTAAGCCTTGAAATAAAGATCTGTTTGAAATCAAAGGGTCTCTCACGGACCAAATGGCACTGATACAAATGTGTGTCTCCTTCTGAGGTCCTGTTTATGCTGTCTTCGTGTGGAAAGTGTATCCTAAATCTTCTTGGCAGCCAGCCTAATATAAGTTGGGGCTCAGGTGGAGCAACTGTCTGTTTAAACAGTAGCTGATCTCAGCTTTACATTCTTGTAAGGCGAAGCCCAGAGCAGATGCGACGCTGCAAAACTACTCAACTCTCTTATTTCAGGTTTTTGGGTGGAGAGGGAAATACCATTTCTCCGTAAGGGCCTGTATTTAAGTTGAAATGTAGCCTTCATGTCTGTCTTGGAAAGATCATACCTTCTTAAATAGGGTTCTATCCAATTCAAACTCAGCATTGTAGAGCTTGGCAGCAGAACGTCTCCTGGGGCTCTAAGGCTTTGCAGACTCAGAACTTGCTACCTGTTCCATGTGGGAGTTTTCGGCCAGGAGACACATGGACATTTCATGTTGTTTTTGGCTGCCTGTGGTACTAACCCCCTTCTGCAGGAGAAGGTCAGAAAACAAATCATCCAGCATAGAAAAAAGCTGGTGTGCAAGCATAGTGCCGGTATCTGGATCCAGCTAGGAAGGAATTCACCATAAAAGAGGAACTGTCGTGGGGATCTGATAACGGCCATTTGCATGCGTTTTTTTTTTTTTTTCTTTTTAAGTCTCCTTCATCTAAGTTAAACCTTGCAAGTAAAACAAAGTTCTGCTCTTCAATCACTTTTAAAGATGGCGGTACTGCTTCATTACCACAGCCCTAGCCTCTGGGTCAGTGCATGGCCCGGTCTGTCCAAATCAAGAGAGATTATCAGTCTCACGGATCGTAGCTCCTTGTACGCAGTTAGTACATGTAGAGGGGGAATTAGGACAGGAATGGAAAGGATGGCATTCTGGGCAGTGATGGCTTAAAAGGCCTGCTTTAGAGCGTAGTTTTATCTGGCCCACCTGCAAGATGCTGATCGAATCCCGGAGAGAGCCCATGCCTGGAGATGAGGGCGGGCTGTGGCAACAGCACCACCGTGCCCCGTAAGGCCTTCCAGTGAGGTGCTCCCTTTATGGGCTCAGATATAAGGGAATGGCACTGGACTTTTGTACAGCATTTCCTATGTGGTCGCTTCTGCTGGAGCTGGGAGAGACTGTGACTTATCACCACCCTGCAAGTGTCAGCCCGACATTAGGATGCGCCAAACCAGGAATTACAGTGAGTATGGCCATGAGCCCCATGGCATGGCATATGCATTCCTAAACAAATAATCCCCACATGGCGGAATTCTGCACTCCCCAAAATAAAGGGGCTTGTGAGAAAAAGGGGAGCTGGGGCAGAAAGCTCAAACCTTGTACTATCTTGTGATATAAGAAAACGACCACAATTTTAAACATAAGTTCTTGGGGTGCCTAGGTGGCTGAATCAGCTAAGCACCCGACTTTGGCTCAGGTCATAATCTCACAGTTCCTGAGTTCAAGCCCTGTGTAAGGCTCTGTGCTGACAGCTTGGAGCCTGGAGCCTGCTTCAGATTCTGTCTCCCTCTCTCTCTGCCTCTCCCCCACTTATGTTTTCTCTCTCAAAAATAAATATTAAAAAAATAAACACGTTCCTAATAAAGAAACGTTATAGTAAATATAGAATGTTATTTTGACAAGACATGAAGTTTGTTTAGTAGAGGTGTTTATAGTGAGAAGTTGTGGCTTCTGAGATACAGAAAATAGGGAAAAGGAAGAATACAGTTTTTCAAGTGAAATGGGATACCAGAGGCAGACGGCTATGGCTTGTTGTCTGGTTTTCGCTCCTCTAATTTAGCTTAGGGGAGAAATCCAATTTGTATTCCTTTGTTAGTCTTCCCTTCTCATGAAGAAGCAGTTCGTATGGCCCCAAATGAGACGAGATGACAAAGTGCTTTCCTGCTCCATCAGATTTGGGGCATCTTCAACCCACAGCAAATGAGTGCTTTCACTTTTCAGTTCCCCTGAAAGCAGGGGATTCTTGGAAAGTTAAGATGAAGCTCTTGCTTCTTTTGTTTTCAGTGCTGTTTCCTGTGTTTGTCAACGTGATTACTTAAGGCCAACTGGTACCTGCGATAGCACACCTTCTCTTGTTTCAGAGCTTTGCAATATGTAAGGCTTTTTCTTGTTCCTTTGCTACTTATAATCAGGACACTTGTGTTGAACTGAGAAAATATATGAGGCATTGCACGTGGGTGAAACCGAGAGAGGAGGTGTTCTGCATTATTCCACTACAGGTCGTTCTGCTCAGCTGGATGGCGTTTTTCATGTTTACCTATTGGCCGTTTGAGCGAAACTGTAGATCAAGAAATAGAATTTTGGTTTTAGTGATTTGATTCCTTATTTATATGCATTGACTTGCACATTACAGATGCACATAACTATATATATATGTATATGGTTGTTTTATATATATATATATATATATATATAGTTGTTAAGCACTGGGTCAGGTCGATATATATTTATATCTGCTTTCTTGTCCTTCCCAGAAGATTCTTGACAGCATTAAGGTTTCTTTGTTGTTTTGTAAGAACTCTTATTTTTTAAAGTTCTCTTTTGTTTCCCCCATTCAGCTCATTCATGACTTCAATAGAACCCATGATTCCAGGGGTCTGGCCTGCCTTCCTCCCTAGGTTACTGGGACCCCCTACAGCGAGGCATAGCTTTTGTTTGGCTATGTGAGGTGGTAGGATCTGAACCAGTCGTGCCGTCAAATTCGAGCAATGGCAAACGGGCAGGTGGTGGAACGTGACGGGTTCTCCTTTGGAAGGCCATTTACTCAGTACACGCATCTCCCTGCTCTGCTTCTCTCCTAATGCAAAATGGAGTCCGCGTCCAACAGCAGGGAGGAGCCACCCAGTCCCCTGATCTAGCCTCTGTTTACACCTGCACGGCCCTGCAGGGCAAGACAGCCCCTCCCACACTGAAGGAGCTCCCCCACAGCACGTGAGGGGGAGGCTTATGGTGACTGGTGTCCATATTCCTACTTAGTACTTCACATGACACTGACTGGGCTCAGGGTTATTGTAGAGCAGGTGCTAAGACCTCACTTCTTCAAATCCTGAGTTTTGTCAGAAAGAAGGGCTTCTTCAGGGAGCCCTTCTCAACCACGAAGTATGTGCCAGGCATTGTTTTAGGTGTTCAGGGCATACCAGACAAATTTCCTCTATTAAAGTTGCTGCATCAGGAACTGGAGGCTTATTTCGTACTGACTCACACCTGCGTTACCACATCAAAAGTAAGGGGGGATGGCTTCTTTTGGTCCAAAAGCTTAAAATATAGCTACTACTTCCTTGCGAATGGTAGCTGTTGACCTGTACCAGGTTATGCTTGCTTTCTTATAGAATTTGTGATACATAAACACCCACTTTTTCTCAGCTAGCGGTGGCTAGGTCCATGGGCTTCTGAACCAGACTGCCTGGATTCAAATCCTGATTATCACTCGGCAGTTCTGTGACCTTGGCCACGTTACTTCACTTATTGCTACTTCAGCATGTCTATTTTTAAAAGGGGAGGATTACACTATACATATTATAGGGCTGAAGGATGGACTAAATGAATTAATTTATATAAAGCTGCTGTGTTTGGCACAGGTAACTGTAGTTACTATTTTGCCTACACATACTTCCATCACAGCTCATGCGTAGTTAATACCCGTGCCTCTGACACCCGAGTGCACGTATTCATAAGTTTATCTACAGCACTTTTCCACTCTGCAGTAGCCTGCATCCTCTTTGGTGGGGCAAGGAGGTGCTGGGGGAAGACACGTGTGATTTCCGTGTTCCCAACACCTAGCGCTGCGCCTGCCAGTGCGTGCTTGCTGAATGGCTGGGAAGGTGGTCTGAGACTCACTCCTTGACTGGCAAAGGGTAAGAGGAGGAGAGCAAAAACAAAAACTCCCACACAAACGCCCAAATACAATGGCTCAGCATCTTAATTCCTAAAGAAGAGATTTTGCTAGGGGTATTTATCTCGGCAGTCCAGTCTAGCGGCCAGGGCACAGGTGACTGAGGCGGCAGAAGGCATGGCGACACGGTGCAGGGTCTGCGAGCAGCATCACAGGCGAGTCGGTGAGATTTCCACGGGGGAGACAGGCCTCGGTTTATTCTGGTGTCATGGAGACAGGAGGCTCTGCGGGAAAAGATGACTGCACTTTGTAAATACCTCGGGGCAAACCTGACCCTTCTGGGCTGGAAGGATGAACGTGGATGGGTCGGGGGTTAGATAACATAACCACTGAGAGGAAAAGTGAAGTTGGGGCTTGTTTTCCCGGTGGCCAGACAGCTGATCTGGAACTTGAGGGAATCTGCATGGACGGGTACCTGCTGGCAATGTTAATGGCAGTGCTATCTGGTTTGTTTTTCCCATTAAGTGAAAAACTGAAGAGCTAAACGAGTAAGCAATTTTATTCTTATCACCTATAACATTCAGATTGGACTACATAATGAAATAATTCTATAAAATAGTGTATTTTATTGCAATTTCCTATTGAAGGGATATCACCCCCTGACCTTTCACCACAAGCTCTCAGCACCCATGACACGTCTCTTGTCAAAGTGCAGTGGGAGCTGCACTCTGCCCGTAGGTTAGGAGAAACTCATCAGGAAGACGTTTCAATCACCGCATGGATCTTTCCGTCATCTGCAATTTTCATTTTCCTATAGTCGATAATCTTCAGGTCTGAAAGACAAGAATCAACATTTATATCTTCAGGAATCATCATATTATTTTCTCCTGCCTGATGAAGGAAGACTATTTTTCAATTTAAAATGAAAGTAACTGTTCACTGAGAAATCATCTACAAGCATTAGATTTTTGGGGAAAAACACTAAAGCTAAATCATCATAAAACGACAATCCCAAAGCTCTTTCAAGAATATAAATATAGGCCATCTTGTGCCTATGCATGAATGTATTTAGTAACTTAAAAACTTGAATTTAACATCTGTTCCAATTTTAAATATACTTTCTTAAAGCCCTTTTCAGAGAGAGGATTGCTATGATCTTTAAAATCATATAAGCATATGTATTGACCCAATCAAGGCAATTTTTGAATGAGTAATTTCCCTATTTATATTGTTTTATCATGCTAAATTTATTTATTTATTTTTAAATAGACATTATCTTTTTAGAGGGACAGAGAGAGAGAGAGAGAGACAGAGCAGGAGCAGGGAGAGGGCAGAGAGAGAGGGAGACACAGAATCCGAAGTAGGCTCCAGCCTACTGTCAGCACAGAGCCCTTCTGATGTGGGGCTCAAAGTCACAAACCATGAGATCATGACCTGAGCCAAAGTCAGACATTTAACCGACCGAGCCACCCAGGTGCCTCTACGTTGTCTATTTTTTTTTAATGTTTATTCATTTTTGAGAGAGTGCACATGAACGGGGGAGAGGCCGCGAGAGGGGGACAAAGGATCTGAAGTGGGCTCTGAGCTGACAGCAGTGAGCCTGATGTGGGGCTCTAACTCACAAACTGTGAGATCATGACCTGAGCTGAAGTTGGACACTCAGCTGACTGAGCCACCAAGGTGTCCCTAAATTTATTTTTCATTATGATACATACACAAAATAAATGTATAAACACCACACCTTTGATGTTTAATTAAAACTGGTAAAACTGGTCTTTTCCTCATTTATACATTTATAGGATCAATCACACCTGAAAGCTACTTCCAGCAGTAAATTAAAACAAAAAAAATATTATTTAAGGGAAATGTTAAATCATAAGCAGTGGAGAAAATGAAAAAACAGGAAATTACAAAATGCAAAAAATTCTGAAGTGCCCTTTTATCTTTTACATCGGTGTATTTGTAGGTGTTGAGATCATATGGAATTTTCAGAAGGAAATTCATAATCAGTAAACTAAATAGATATTTTTGAAACAGCTGTAAAAATATTCGAGAGTTTGAGTTCCTTTAATGAGTAGATGAACTCTGTTTGCCCCGAAACAACTTATCTAGTCCCTTTCTACATTTACAGCATGTTTTCTTAAATAGAATGCTCGCAAGATACCAGATAGCTCAACTATGAAGACCAACAGTCTCCTGGCTGAGTAAATAAACTATATTACGATTTAGAGTTATTACTTAGCTCCGAGGAACACAGCCTCTGATCTGGGAAACTAGCCAAATATGCTTCACCATATCAGCTGTTCTCTAACAACAAGAAGAGAAACTGTGGAATTTTGTCACTGTTTTTGAAACCTCTTTCCAAATGTAAAAACTGCATCCAAAGTCTAGGAAAAGTCAGTGTGGTCTGACAGCTGAATGTGGCTCCAAAGTGCACCCTTTTCATCTCTGGCAGATGACTCACTACAATCAAAGCCGTTCCCAGTCAAGAGACAGCAGCACATTTAAAGAAACAACTTATTCTCCTGTTGAGCTGGTTCATATAATTACTAAAGAGTGGAAGTGATGCCATTAGAAAGAAATCTTTAGGGGCCCCTGGGTGGCTCAGGTGGTTGAGCATCAGACTCTTGATTTAGGCTCAGGTCATGATCCCAGGATGGTGGAATAGAGCCCAGTGTTAGCCCTGAGAGTGGAATCTGCTTAAGAATCTTTCTTTCTCTCTGCCCCTCTCCCCACCTTGTGTTCTCTTTCTCTCTCTCTAAAATAGAAAAAATAGTAATACTTTAGAAAGAAGCTGTTTAATGTCCTAACAAGAAGTCTCTGCAACGCCACTTAATAAAATTAAATGTGCTTAGTCACAATCTAGTTGTTTCCACACCAAAGGTTAATTTGTTAAATAACAATGTGATGACAAAAACACCATTTAGTGGGATTTACAAGTAAAGTTAGAAATGTGTGTGAAGGGTGTGATCTGTGACATATGGAATGTAGGCAGTGACGTGAAGGCTACAGGGGGCTGATCAAGCCCAGATTTGTTTCAAGATTTTTTGGTAGAAGCGAGGAGGACAAAGAAGGCTGTGGCCGTAATGACTGAGAAGAAAGGACAGGTTCAGGGTTTAAGAGGCAGAAAAGTACCATGTCGGTGGGGAGGGTGGAAAGGGAACGGGAAGGGGCTAGGGAGCCGGAGGAGGAAGGCGCTACCAGAAAAGGATGATTCAGGGAGGATTCCTGATTTTCAGCTTGAAGATCGCTGCCAATGACAATGCTATTGACTTTTTCAGGACAGGGAATACAGGTGGAAGAACAAACTAGAAGGCAAGGACCCTGGATTGGATTCTGATGAGACCTGGACCTGACAGGCAGCGAGCAGCGAGGATTTGGGGTTTAGGAGAAAGGGCCAGAGGGAGGACATGTGAGAGTCTCTACCACAGATTCCTTCTTTTCTATCCCACTTCTGCATAGCAGGTGGCCCCGCTTAAACCGTCTTCAATGGTCTTCCACTGCTTTGTCAAAATCCAAACACCTCGGAATTCAATATATACCCCTCCATGACAGGCCTCAGCTAACATTTCTGAGTTACTCTCTGTATACCCCGTCCCTTTACATTCTGGTGCCATTACACCATTGTTACTGCCCAGATTAAGCACTTTCATACCTCTGGACTTGGGTACTTGAGCTCTTCTGTCTGGAAGCCTTGACTAATCCTTCAAAATCCACCTCAAAAATCACATCTGGGAAGCCCTCTATAAACTTCCTAACTTAGGGGTCCTTTCTCTGAGATTGTCCAAGAATAGCATGCATACTTCTATGACAGTGTTTTTCCAATTATAATTGCCCTTATGTAAATAAATTTTGTTTATGTTAGATGTACTGAAAGCTTATTAGATGCCATGAACTATACTAACTACTTCATATGCATTATCTCATTTTACTTTCATAACTACATTTTATCAAACCCATCTTATGGTTGACAATACTGAGGCTCAGAGAGGCTGGCCAACTAGCCTAAAGATACACAGCTAGGAAACAGATAGTAGGGACTTAGGGAAGACTGTCTGACTCCAAGTGCCTGCTTGCACCATTCCATTCTATTTGACTCCTATTTGGCGGTTGGTTCCTTTGAGGGCGGGGTCCCAATATAACAGACCTTATGCTTCCAGCAATTAGCACAGTGCCCAGCATATAGTAGATACTTATAACATATCTGTAATTACAGTACAGACTGCCTTGAAAATGCCACTTTGTCTTACAAACTCTTCGTTTCCTTTTTTAATGAAAGTCATTAGGATCTTTTATGGATGGTTAATTTGCTTCCGGGGGTGGGGGAGGGGAGGGGAACAGTTTCATGGCCAAGGGACCAGATACTTCAGATGTTGGCATAGCCAGAAACATCAACTCATACTGAGTCACTTAATGATATTGCATGGCATTCAGGAGATACCCTCATTGGGAAAAGTGAGGATTTTACACTAAATACAGTTTTGTTTCTACACACACACACACACACACACACACACACACGAAACAGGCACACATACAATGTACTTGTATTGCTTACTCCCTTCCACTAAAAGAAATCCAAGATAATAAGAAAGGGGAGGGGAGGCCTATCTATCTGCTCCTTCTCAACCTTCAGCAGGCATATGTATCACTTGGGCTCTTGTGAAGGCAGACTCAGATTCAGTTAATCTGTAGAAGGGCTCATGATTCTGCATTTCTTTTTTTTTTTTTTAATGTTTATTTATTTCTAGGAGAGAGAGAGAGAGACAGCGTGAGCAGGGGAGGGTCAGAGAGAGAGGGAGTCACAGACTGAAACAGGCTCCAGGCTCTGAGCTGGCAGTCAGCACAGAGCCCGACGCCGGGCTCGAACCCACGAACTGCGAGATCATGACCTAAGCGAAAGTCGGACGCTTAACCGACTAAGCCACTCAGGTGCCCCCATGATTCTGCATTTCTAATGAGCTCCCACATGGTGCAATGCCAGTCCATGGGCCACATGATGACTTAGCAAGGCTTCACCTCAGAAAGAGCTAATCCTAAAACAGAGGAGATGACTATTTGAAGAAGGAACTGAAGCACCTTTAGTAAATTTCTGAAACTATGCTATATCTAAGAGAAGGTAACACACTTCTTCCTTAGCTAGGGGTGATTCCATTTGTTGTACAGTACCTTTCTTAGCTCTTTACCATGAGAGAACTTTATTAACAGGAAGTTTTTTGTGCTTTTCTGATACAACAATTTATAATTTTAAGTTATGATAACATGTATTGAGGCTGGGCATTGAAATTCCTTTGGGATCTATCGTCAAAGATTAAATTGTAGTCCCTGTAGTGTTAGTAATTTGAGTTAAACGTCATATTTGGTTCTTTAAGTTTTGCTAATCCATATATGACAACACTATATTGATCAGAATTAAAATCCTGGATTATGTTGTTTACAAACTAACCCTACTTTATGTGTATATCTACCTAATGTCCTTACTAGATTAGATAGCTTTTAAAAGCAAGACATGTAGCATCTAGTATGTTGCTTTGGATAGTACGGATGCTTAACTGTTGTGAACTTAAATGTAATGGCTTAATCCTTTGCAAGGATGAGTGAATTTATATCCTATATTTATTTGCCTTAGTTCTTAGTCACTGTTTCAGTTCAAATAAAAAATCATGAAGTTTTAAAATAAAAGATTATATTATATAAGGCTAATGTTTTTATAAGTAATAATATTTTACAATAATCTCAGGAAATCTTTGAAGAGACATTTCAAATGATGTTATAGAAAGCTAACCTCTATTAATTTTTGTTTTTCCACACAAATTTACTCCTTGACAGAAAT